ATTACTGCCATTCATTACAATTCAGAAAACCTTCATAGGCGACAAACAAAAACCTTAATCCACAAGGTAACCCTTTTTCTTAGAAAAGGTACCCAAAGGCAAAACTATTTCTGTGTCCACATATTTCACCATGTCTTATTTTTGAAGGAGAAAAACATGTCCCATTCCAAGACGAAGCCAAGTAAAAACTACCGGAAACTTGCATCCTTCGACCAGCGAGGCCCTTCAGTAAGGCCTTATATTCTTTGGTACCAAGTTAACGTACGACAGGTACTCAATATTTTATATTCAGTTTAGTTTCAACTCCACCAAACCCACACTGAACAGGGGAACACTTAATTGATCCAAATTTGACAAAACTATTTTTCGGGTAAGTACATTTGTGTCCCCGGTTTAGTTTTGGTTTCCGTACTATTTTTAGAAAACATAGCTGTGTGTAAAAGAAAATTTTAATTCCGACAAAAGCCCTAATACATTTTGTGGCTATTTTAAGATTTCATTTAGATATTCCAAGACCCAACTTCCTACATCTTCCTACGTGCTTGGAACACTGGCTATTAATTGAAGTTGGTGTATTTTCCTTAATCCCGCTCCAACTTTCGTAAACTATATCAATTAATTATGGTCCAGGAATAAAAATTAGAGCTATTTTTTGCTGAAAGGTGAAATGGCCGATCCTGTAATTGGAATACCATTGCAAATTCAAAGTCGCACGACGTTTTCGACAGTCGTCCGATTTTCAAAATTCCAACTGTTTTGAAACCATACGGCCCTATTGCGAAATATATATTCCCAAATTTTTAAAATGTGACCACACCCCCTGGAAATTAGGGTCGCAAATTCAAAAAATATGGAAAATATAAACAATCCCTGCAGCTGAATTTTGTCGCATAAAAATCGAATATCATGTCGAAAATTCACATCGGCACCCCGGTCACCCAAAACAATGCTCAAGTCACATGCCGCAGTCCCCCCAGTGGGTGTGGTCATCAGCGCCTTTTAGATTCTTTAACAACCATGGGTTGTGGCATATCGTTTTTCTCGGCTCGATAAGGGCATCTCGACTGAATACATATAATTTAGAAACCACGCCCCCAGTGGGTGTGGTTATCAGCGCCTTTTCGATTTGTCACGAACCATGGGTTGTGACATATCGTTTTTCTCAGATCGATGAGGGCATCTCGAGTGAATAACTATAATTTAGAAACCACACCCCCAGTGAGTGTGGTCATCAGCGCCCTTTGGATTTAACACGCATCAAGGTTTGTGACATGATTTTTCTCAGCTCGATGCTGGCATCTCGACTGAATAATTAAAATTTAGAAGCCGCACCCCCAGTGGGTGTCACCGTCAGCGACAGTACGACTTGAACCAACCCATCTCATACTATATATCCTTTTTCTCAACTCAATGATTGCATCTCGACTGAATAAATGTAACCTTCGATACAGCAACCCCAGAGAGGTTGGTTCTCACAGACGTTTCGAGTGAAGCGAAACCATGTCATTTGATGTGTTATTTTTTGTGGACTGAATAGGTCATGTCAACCGAATAATTAAACCTTGAATGCAAATCCCCCGGGGGGTGGTATCGATTATGGCCAAAACATGGGCTGTGACATATTTTTCTCAGCAGGATTTAGCAATATCGAGTAAATTGTTATAATTTAGAAAGCACTTCCATTGTGTGATTATCAACTCTACGAGGCGAATGATATTTTACATGAATTCATAATGTCAATCCGTAACGCATATTCCTCAATCTTTTACTTATCATGAATAAAGCATAAAAGCCTCAATTTTGCCAATAATTGTTTCATTGTGATATCAAACTGCTTGTTAGTTGTAAAATAATGATGCAATGACCATTAAATCTTCACATGTTGTTCTGTAAATTAGAACCAATTTTATTATATGGGAATACCAAGTAAGTTACTTATACAAAATTAGATTGAGCGACTCAGCTTACACTTTCGGGGTTTTTCACACCCATAATGATACACAAACCAATAATGGCGACTACTCATCTTCATCCTCGCTAATTTCCGCCTCGTCCCCACCATCCCCATCGCTTTCACTGACTTCTGTTTCGTCCCCACTATACCCATCGCTTTCACTGACTTCTGTTTCGTCCCCACTATCCCGATCACTTTCACTGCCGTCCGTCTGGTCGCCATCGTCCCGATCATTTTCACTAACTTCTGTGTCACTATTTTCATCGATATAATTGTCACCAGTATCCCCGCTTCGTTCTTGAACGTCCTCCAGGTGGTTATTTATGAACCTCGGCGATAATCTTTCCTCGGTATCTTCATTTTCTGACTCATCATCACTACTGTCAGCGGTCAGATCGATTACAATACGGTTGTCTGCTAATGTGTCGGAAACAAAGGTGTCTGCTACTTTTTCCATATCCATGAGCAAGGATTAGAATTTCTCCACATGTTTGCAGCATTGAGACCACAGTTCCTTAGAGATTGCGGACATTTCATTCTCGCACAATTTCACGAGATCTTTGATCTTGAATGTAGTGTTCTTGGCAGCAACATTTCCTGAATAGAAAACCAAATGCGATGCATTCAAAATTAGGGTTGTGCATGAGCTCGAACTCGTGTACGACGAGATAGAGCCGATTTAGGAGCCGAGCCAGCTCAAAATAGCTCGAGTGATGATCAATGAAAATAGCTCAGTTTTTCGATTAGCGGGCCGGGCTAAATCGCGACGGAGCGGATTTATCGGGAGGTGGTTGGCCTTTAAACAAATGCATATGATGCAATGTGCAATAGTCCAGGGTGCATAAACATTTTTGTTGTCTGTGGTTTCTCCTAAGGGGGTGATCCATGGATGAATTTTATAAATTAAAATTTGAAAGTTTGGAAATTGCATGCAATTTTCCCATGAATTCAGTTGTCAACCAAATTTTAGAAATGAAATAAATAAATTTTTGACAAGCCTTCATCTTTGAAGATGAGGAATAAAGTTCGGCGATTGATAATATAGGGTAAGTGGTTGACCGGTTGGGATCACATCGGTCGGATGAGGTCGCTGGTGCAGAAAACTATAATTTATAAAATTTATCTGACAACCAAATTCATGGGAAAATTGCATGCAATTTCGCAACTTTCAAATTTTAATTTATAAAATTCATCGTTGCATCACCCTGTTAGGAGAAACCACAGCAAAAAAATGTATTTGCACCGTGGCAATAGTCAATACAAAGGAGTGTAAATATTGCTGTGCTGGGGAGTACGGCGTGCAGAATTAAATAGAGGTTTAACAGGGCAAGTGCAGTTTTGATATTGATATGTTTAGTTGAACGAGGTAAGTAGCAAGTTAAAATCGAGCTGGCTCGACTCGGCTCGTTAAATTTCGAGTTTGCGCAGTGATATTCACGGGCTGAGCTGAACGGGTGGATTTTCTCTACCTGGACTCGAGAATAAACTAGCCAAGTGGAGTTACTGGCCGGCCTAGTTAAATTTCGAGCTCAAACCCAGCCGAGCCATATAGAAACAGCTCGCTAAACTTGGCTCGTGAACAAAATTGCTTTAAATCTAGAACTTATGGAACTTCAATTAAATTTAAACATAGGTTTCACATACTTTTGACTGCAGACCAAATCAGTTCGATTGGATTGAGCTCACAGTGAGCTACTGGTAGCCAGAAAAGCTTAATATCCTTACCGCACTCTTGTGCTAACTTCTCCACTTGGTACACCGGTTGGATTTTGTTCCTTCTTGCCAAATCCAATAATAAAGGGACTGTCATTTCGGAAAATTCTGAGTAGCATTCTGGTAAGCTAATTTTGTGGGAAACTAGCCAGTCAATAATTTCCTGTTTCCTGAAAGCTGTTGTGAGGTTTCGAGTTTCATCAGTTATGCGTTTATGATAGCTCGCCTGATCCAAGACAACGACACTCTTATCTGGGATTTCGTTCAACACGTTTCCGAACCATTCCTCAAAATGCTCGGCATACATTTCCGAATGGTAATCCTGGTTCTTGTTTTTCTTCTTGCCTTCGAAGCACATTGTTGATAAGAATCCATCTTTTGACCCTATGCCCACGATTATACTCTTTTTCCGGCACCGGAGGGTTTTCCCGTAACACCGCCTGCGTAGGTTATTCAAACGATGTATTGCCAATGCCAATATACATACATGCATTTGTTTAATTTATTTAAATTTAATAAAACCGATTCAAAATTGATATTAAATTTTGTCGAAAACTGATTTTGGCTGATCGTCAGGAATGCGTTACAAAATAAGTTACATAATAATAAATAATATATTTTTTGTAAGAACCGGCTTTGTAACAATCTGTTTTGTTATGTAGACCGGTTGACAATCCGCTGATGACAAAATCAATAACTATTTTTTGCCCACTTTTTAAAAGCCAGAATAAATGCGTTCTTCGCAAGACTTCTAAGGTAATTATAATCAAACGAAAATCAGACGTTTTGTTATTGATAATCCTTTTATGTCCTAACGTCAGTTTTTCTGCTGTTAAAAATCACCTGCACACAAATTCTGGCAAATTTAGTTAGCGATTTTTGCATCGGTGTATCATCCATGCATGAATTGGATTATATTCATTTTATGCATTTTTAAGAATTTTTTGTTTTTCCGCATTTTAATACTTTCGGTCGCAGTGCCCGATCTGTGATATTAGTTTACCGGGGCAAGATCTCAAAGGCGCCATTTTCTAACTATTTTTCACGAAATAATATTTCTTGAGTGCTTTATTTCGTAACGTTTTTCAAGGCATATAAACTCACTTTTACTAGAAGAATGAGGATTTAGTTTTTACACGCTTTATTTTGCCATAATTGTAAAGATTATTTGCACTTATGGTACATAAACAAATTTCGGGCACCCTCAGAATTTGGCGCCCCGGTTGCCCACCCCGAATTTGGGGCCTGCTCCTACGCACATGCACTCTTAAAAATAATTTTGTGTACAAAATTAAACAGTGGTTTTGTGACCATTTTTAATTTTGATTACCAATTAGCTTATCGGCGAATCTGCGGCCAACACCTTTGAGCCATTGATCAACATGAGTAGCATTGTTTCCCACCCCGAGGACCTCGCAATCCTGCAAATGCCATCCTTTGGAGGGGGACTGGTTCTCATTAGCCCAGGTCTCGTCTGTGTAAAAAATCTGCAAATTATTTGATCATAAGCTTATTATATGCATTCGTAATTTTTAATGCTTGATAGCGTTAGCAAAATAGTTTATAAAATAGTCAAATAGATATACGCGTACGTTGTAATTTTCCCTTCGTAACTTCCGTATGCTCCTTAAAAATGAGTGACGTGCCACTTGCACGTCGTGCCTCTCAAATGGAATGGGCTTTGAATGAAATTTTACGAATTTGAATTTTAACTGTTTCCTCATAATTTTGTGCAAAGTCCTATAGCTCTTGAACTTAGGGAAATTCGGGTCTTCTTGTAGTACTTCATAGAGACGTTTGACAGTATAAAACTTTTTTTGGGTGTACCCCTCTAAAATCTTACGCCTGATGACACCCTCCGTGAAGCTATCTACAATAATTCCTTTTCTGTAAAGAGAAAATCTTACTCTGAAAGCGTCCATGAATACAAATTGTTTGTCAAAAATACCGTCCACTATTTCCTTGTTTTCGTGGTGAGATAGATTTTCCGGTTTCTCGGTTTTCTGCAAGACATCTAGTAACGGTTGCAGCCGATATATTTAGAGCATCAATAGCCCTTTGACGGAAACGCTTGGCAATGTTCCACGAGGCTAAAAAATGTATAGTAGTTAATAATTAACCATAAAAGTATTTAATTATGACGAGATTAAATTTAAAAATTACCTTCTGCGGATCGCTTCCGAAATAATTTCTTTTCATTTTTGAAGTAATTGACCAATTTAACTACCATTGCCTTCGCAGATAAATCCTTATGGCGCCCCATTTTTTACGAACACTTCCGATTACGCAATGAGGACGAAAATGTGTAAAATTTGCAAATATTTTTTTAGTGTTAGTTTAATTCAACGAGAGTATATAACTCAGCGCGTGCAAATGCTAGGGATCACTGTTCGTTTGCAAAGTGATGCTCATCAGCAACACGAACATATGAGTACAACGTTCCCGCTCAGATTGTCAAAATCTCATTTTATTTCCCAACTCGCACAATTAACTTGTATAACCAATAACTTTAATTTTCTACATTTTTAACATATATGAAAACATTCGTATTGTACAACCTATTTACAATTCCCTGCATACGTTCTTTTTCACATTTAAAGTTAGTCATGCACCAACAAAGGCAGATTTCTTTTCCCCTGATGCGTGATGTCCAAATTGTAAAATTATTCTTACAACATTTTGGGCTAAAGTGAAATTCTCTGATTTTCTCTAAATTTTGGAGTTACGTAGTCCAAGCAAACAACATTTCCTAATGTACTTAGCGAGATTGGAGTGTATCGAAAAACTATAGCAAAACGTTGAAAACCAGACGATTTTTATTACATGGATGACTTAAACCCGACTCCTCGATTTTTCCCGATTTGTCCCCAAACATTTTGACAAATTCCAAGCATCTAACAAAATGCATCAAGCAACATTTATTGCATTTAAAAAAATGAAACACTGGATGCCATGGTCTCCTTTAAATCGAAATATCGATGAGAACGATATCCGCGGGTGGGGGATTGACTTGTCTCACCGCGACCGCGTCATCGATCTGTCGAGAATTACTCGGCACGCTCGATGGTATAATTTAACGTAGCTGACAGCCAAACCCCTGACCGAATGACTTCTAAATTTTAGTTACTTGGTCGACATCACCTCATCAGAGTAAGAAAAATGGTATATGACACGCTTTCGCTCCATTCGAAACGTCGATCAGAACAACACCATGTGGTTGATAAATTCTAATTCCGGACGCCCTCGAGGAGTTTAGAAAAATAATATGTAACATGACATGGGTTGCCTCAAATCTAAATGTCGCTCAGGGTGACACCCACTACGGTCGTGGTTTATAAATTCGAATTACTCAGAACGCGATGACGCCAGCGGTCTCGCTCCGATTTTGACAAAGACTACAATAATTATGTAGCATAATTAAATACGGTTTCAGGATTTTTGAGCATGTTAAGCATGGAGAAAGCGCTGACGACCACACCCACTGGAGGCGTGGTTTCTAAATTATAAATTATATGTATTCACTCGAGATGCCCTTATCGATCTGAGAAAAACGATATGTCACAACCCATGGTTCGTGACAAATCGAAAAGGCGCTGATGACCACACCCACTGGGGGCGTGGTTTCTAAATTATATGTATTCAATCGAGATGCCCTTATCGAGCCGAGAAAAACGATATGCCACAACCCATGGTTGTTAAAGAATCTAAAAGGCGCTGATGACCACACCCACTGGGGGGTGCGGCATGTGACTTGAGCATTGTTTTGGGTGACCGGGGTGCCGATGTGAATTTTCGACATGATATTCGATTTTTATGCGACAAAATTCAGGTGCAGGGATTGTTTATATTTTCCATATTTTTTGAATTTGCGACCCTAATTTCCAGGGGGTGTGGCATATTTTAAAAATCTGAGAATATATATTTCGCCGCAGGGCCCAAGGTTTCCAAAACAGTTGGAATTTTGAAAATCGGGCGAGTATCAAAAAAGTTGTGCGACTTTTACTTTTCAATGTATTTAGGCATGGAAGGGTCTGCCAGTTAGCCTCTCAGCAGGATAGAACCTAAAATGGCTCTAATTTAAATGCCTCGACCATAGCTAACTTTTGACCACTAAGTAACCTTGCTAAACGGTAATCGTCCAGAAATTAAATTAATATTGATTTTATTCTTGAAACACTTTCACTCGTGTCATGCTTATGTCTTACATGTACATATGTATGTATATTAGATTGGTGTAAAGATTTATTAACATTGGCCACATATCACACGTCAATAACTTTGACTGTTTCGACACCATTTAAAAATCTTTCGCTTTTTCAATTTTAATACATGTAGGATTCAAATATTTGTCAAACTGAAATTGATAGATGGCGGAACACATCACGCCTTTTGGAGATTCAAGTGTGCTGCGGAAATTCGGGTCAACATCGCTGGTAGAGTACATTCTTACTTCAATCGACATGTTCCTGCAATAAAATATAATTCCATAATTAATATTGACACATTTCTCGATTAGATTATTGGAAGAGTAATGAAATTCCTATCAAAATCTGACCTCATTTCCTCCACCGAGGTGAATTCCACATGGGAGAAGGAAGCCCGGATGCGACTCGCAAACAGATTCGCCTAACTCCCAACAACTTGGAAGGTTACCTTGCCCTATCCATGGTCAGAAATAATTGCTTCAAATGAGTAAATCTCTGCCTCAGTGAGCAAGAAGACGTGACCCAAGCACTCCCTCAGCTTCAATCCTTTGCCGAGAAACACTGCATGCGGGTCAAATTGCTAGGCATCGACTGGCAACTTAACGTCGAAAAGGCTGAGTCCGAAAAGTTCTTTGATGTTCCTTTCCTCTTTTAGAGACTTGAATTGTCTCGCCTTGCGTCCTTTCGTTGGGGGCACAGAGGATCAGTTCTTCCCCGCCCTAACCCCCGAGGGTTTCTCTGATATCATTCCACCATCTTTCTCCTTCCGTGGTTGAAGTGTTTGCAAATCTATGTCAAGGAGCATCAGCTTCTAAACGTAACCAAGTTTGCCCTTAGATTCCAGAAGATTGAAGACCTCATTAAGCTTAACCTCCCCAACATTTTTCCTCATTTCCCAAACATTACGAGCCTGGGGCTTAATGAGGTTCCGATTAAGCACGACCAAGATGTCCAGCTCATCCGTCATGCTACAAAAGTAACCAGTTTAACCATCCGAGACGGCCATGATTTTCCCGACAAATTGCTTGTACCTCCCCTCACTCAAACATCATTCCCCATAACTAGTCTTACACTACACGTCACCCCTTCTGCCTGCGGTGACCCCACCTTCAATTCCCTTCTAAAGATCTTCGCCACTAAGTTGACCTGCTTGAGCTTCACAAACGTCGAAACTTCCAGAACTGACCAATTCTACAATTTCTTTGTTCCAATAATGCCCAAGCTAAGGAACCTCACAATCTCCAGAAATTTTTTTTCATAATAGTATAACTTACACTACATACGTACAAAAATCTTAATAATAATAGTAAGAAACCACTCCAAATGATAATCGTTTTTTCACATAAGTAAATAGTACGTAATATACGTTCTAACATCAACTATTCAAATTATTTAGCTTTCAATAACAGTGATGTTCCGAAAAAATTTAAAACTTGCCTAAAATCCCAAGTCCTTTAAAATGTCACGCTTGCATACCTTACTGTCTTACCTTTTCAATCCATGATGAATTTTTATTGCATTATGTATCACATTAATTAATTCCTGCCTTCATATATTTGTAAAAACTAAAAATGATCTTGTCAGTTTTCCACTTATCAAACTATACGTAAAATATAACTGAAACATACAATTTAATACATAAAAGTACACTCAAAATAATTTTGTCACCAAATCGTCACCGTGCGGTGTCACTATGAGTTTCTACCACGTTGGTGATGATTTGTCTTAATCCGGTGATAATCGTAACTCGTCACCGCGCGGTGATAAAATTTGGTGTTACCAAGACGGTAATAACTCGTCATAGGTAGGTGATAATTATGCAAAATCTAGTAAAAATGCTCAAAACCTGCAGGATGACGATGTATTACTAGATGGTGATATTTTGTGAACACATTCGTAATAGCTATTGATACCATTGGGTTATATTTTGTTACCGAGTTTTACAAACGATGCCACTATTTTAGTAATGAATTGCACGATGAAATAAGACGTCATTTGATAATTTATTTAACAGCATGTTGTATTTTTGTTACAAATAATGCATTCAGTAATTTTGTACAGCTTTTAAGATAATTATTAACATTATGATACATAAAAATAAAAACATACTGGCATATGTATGTAAATATTTACACCAAATTGTTGTAAATTACACTAGTTGTACAGATAATTATAAATAATGCCTTGGCACTAGAAACAAACCATCAATTTCACAATTTCTTAGAAATTCCATACACTCATGTATTACTAAATTTTCCACGTTAACGAAGTTTATTTTGCTTGTTTCAGTTACGTTGTATGCAAAATATTTTCTGCTAAACTCTTCTACATCGATTTCTTTCACGAGAAGTAGACAATTATTTTCATTTACAACTAAAAAATCAGAAATTAGACCAAACTTTGGGAATATTTCACCCATTTCAATACACACAATATAGTTGACCTTATAATTATACCCTCGATACCAAATTTGATTAGTTGTGTAGACTAAGGAGTCCGGCGAATGAGACTAAAAAACCGTGTAGTCGTCTTAGGCACTTGTCAATTGAGAAGAAATGGTATCGAAATGCTAAAATTGCGTAATATTCTAAAAACTAATTGGAACATTTCTGAAAAACAATAACTCATTTCCTTAACAACAAAGTCAACGATGGAATTACTTATTCTATGTACTAACAATGACGAACAAAAATCTGTGAATGTTTGAATTCCTAGTTCGACTGATATCTCTTCATTTTCGCTTATCTCAACAAAATTGGGAGATTCTAAAGTATCTCCTATTCCTGAGCTAAATTGCTCCTCGCTCTGCCTTAAACTATTTTCACATTTTGTAGCATTGGAGTAATCATGTGAGTGTTTCAAGTGTCGTGAGAAAATGCTTCACGCATTAAGTACAATTGAACACGAATCGCTAGGACAAACAATTGATTTAAAACTAAAGTGCCCATAAGTATGAACATATTTACGATGATTCTTAATTACTAAAATCGTAACGAAATAATTTTTGCACTCAGGGCACTCGAACATTTTCGTGGAGGAAGCTGCCAAGTTGGGTATAAACCTGCTTAGCCTTTCGCGTAGGGAAGTTATCCCCACATCCAGCTTGTATAAGTAAACTTGCACAAATTTGCATAATCCAGATAAGTTTTTGTCGCACTCAGTGGCGAAAGCATAATGAGCCTTGAACAGGGTGTCGGTAGCTTGGCATGGATTTCTGGCTTCTATTGGAAGAATGCGTCCGTCGCACACGATGAAAAACGAGTCCAAATGTTTCGAGTTGTTTCCCAAGCAAAGCAGATTTGGCTGTTTCTTCTCGATTTTCCAAGTATCAAGAATGGATTGGAGTGGGGTGCCGGTCTGAGATGATAAAATTATGCTAGAATTAACGAGTAATCCTTGAAATTCCGAAGGAATTTGGTTTGAATTCTTACCTTATAAAAAGAAATTAGCAGGTCCTTGGCATCCACAATTTTCATGCGACTACCCTTCCCCTTTCCTTGTTCCGTTGGTGGGATGAGGTACAAAAGACAGAATAGGGCAGCAATCTCCAGGTTCCAATTTCCTAAAAGTAAAGTAAAATTTTTGTAATGCAAGCATTATCAATTCACCCATAAATAGACTTACCAAACTCGTCGGACATGAATTTTCTAAGCGCAGGTGACTTATTGATTTGGACAGCCTGGTAGACAATTTTTTGTGATGCGGTTGGCCAAATATTTACGAAATTGTTGACAGAGTCCGCATACATCAGACTAAATTCGTATTTGATCTGCAACAATTTTAGACAGCAAATTTATTTTTCATATTGAAATAAATATGTCGTTTTTTAGCAAATAAGCACAACACAAAAAGATTTGATTGAAAGTTGACTTACCAGGAAATCGCAATCCAGAAATTTCGTGTAAATTTTTAGAATAGAATTAACGCCCACTTTCCCTAAGTGGTTTCGATGGGAGAGAGTCTCCAAAAATAAAGATTTTATTTCCTGTGCCGACGTTTTGGAAGAGAGACAATTAAGTTTTTCGATCGCTTCCAGGGGAGCATCAATGTCCTCATCCAATCTCTTATCTCCTGGAACAGACTTCGGCGATGGTCCACCAGTCGGCGCCACAGCTCTCTTCGACCCAGTCGAGACCTGATCTTTGTTGATACTTTTGTGGATAAATCGGAGACGCGCTTGGATGAGACCAGTCCTTGTCACGTCATCGTATAAAATATCCTGCAAAAAGCAATGAAAAGGTATTTAGAGTTTGAAATAAATTGCAAATCCAAGTAAAATTAGTTTCCCGCACTGTTCCAAATTTACTATCCGATCCATTACGTCTCCAGGAAGGAACGACGTGTATAATTGCTTTAGCAAACAGAGCCTGGTCTCTGGCAGTTGGCGATTCTCTGAAATCTATTAAATACATCATTAAATACATAAATACTACACGATCGGTTTTATCCAGGAAAGTATGAAATTCCCATAGTAATTTTTACCCTTTCAATTGGATTAGTAGGGCGACAAATTCCTTGATTAAAGTGGAGGAGGCGTCATTACTAACAAACAATTTTATGTTGGTCTCCTCAACCAGTTCGCGGATGTGCAGATTGGCCTCAATATGAGAGTTCAGGACCTACAAAAATGAATTTATTCAATTTCAGCTGGTCACAAATGTTATTATTTAGACTGAAAAGTATTTCCTGTTTTTCTTACCTGTCTGTAACTCTCCTCTTCACTTTCTTCTCTATTTTGAAATACCGACGGTGGTGAATATGGGCCCCCTATTATGGAAGGTGGAGTGTCAACTATTTAATAATGTAAATTATAAGACAATATAGGTAAGGATGATTTAATATAATTGCGCAGGCTACTAACCATACACAATTGGAGGTTCCTCCCCTTCCACGAGAAACACCAAATTTGGAATTACTTCTTGCTCAAATAAAATTGAAAATATTTCTTCGTCGACCTCTGCTCCTTGGTCATCCTCCAAATTAATTTTTGTGTCCGAGTGAAGACCAAATTTGGATTTCACTGAAAAATATAAAACTTATATTAATAACAAATTATGCAAATTTATAGTGGAATTTTTCTCTGTAAATAACTTTTGGTAAATTAATGCAAAATTACAAAACTTTCTATTTCTAGCGTATTTAGTTCACGATAATAATGCAAAATATGAATTTATGTTGTTTCACTTACCTGTTGCTGTAAACACTTGATAATCCGAATTGCCAATTATTAATTTTTTCGTCTCCCGAGGTTGGAAACTCGTACAATTTTAGCCATTTTCCAGCGGTGTGAAAGAAATCGGCGAGGGAAAAAAGATGGAGGAATTTTTAAATGTTGCGCGCACTCTGGGAGAGTGAAGTTCGTCCCAGGTGGGTGATGATACATAACAATCGGAAGATATTTAGTTACCTTAGAGTGATCATCGTCGTATTTTTTCGCGAGACTCCGATTATCACCAAACGGTATCAAATTTGGTAATAAATTTATTACCTAAATGTATGTACTTTATTGCCGGTTTTTAAATAGACGTCATCACCTTTTGTGGTGATAATTTTGGTAATAATTTTGTTACCACCAGCGGTAATACACGTTGTGACCATGGCTTGGTAATGAAAAAAGTGATGAAATTGTCACCAGTTTATTTTGAGTGTAGTTATTAACGACCACATGGTATAGAACTTGTCGATAAACTTATTGTCTTCCAAAATAAATTCCTCCGTAATATTTTCTGCCTACCACAGAAAACACCGTCATGGTTTCTTAGATTGGAAAGTAGCACAAATTCAATTGAAGTTGTAGTGATGAAACATACACTGAAATTTTTTAAAAAGATTATACAATTTCCTCAAAATTCCTTGCTACGTCAGTGTTTTGAGTCATCAAAGCGATATTCACAAAAAACAAACTCTGGTGTCAAGGCAAATTGGTACAATATTCTTGTGCAAAAATTAGACATATGGCAATGCAAACATGTCTTGGATGATATTCCTGAATTTTATAACTTAGATGGATGTTCTCAAAAAATGTTACAAATAAATCAATATATCCGTAAAATATATAAGTTGTCACTTGAGAATGATATTCTCAAAATGCAACATAGTACATCAATGCCAATTTACAAAATGTTATACACACACATAAACTCCCAAGAATTTTTGAATGCTGATATTTCATGGTCATTCACGAGAGTAACTGTACAATGCAGGGCAAACATGTCGCAATTTACATGTTGTAAGACTATAAAATTAGCTGTACTACGTAACTTTTATGATAATTCTGTCGATCCATCGTGTACTAGTTGCACGTCTGGAGAATCCGAAGACCTCATTCACATTCTGTTCAAATGTACCAAATATAATGAAATTAGAAGTAAATTCATGAATATTGTCTATAGTAATAATATAAATATAAGGAAATACCTCTCAAAACCAAATGAAACAACCATGAAAAATATGTATCTCTTTCTCAAACATGTAGCTGACTCCCAAAATTGCTAAAATACCACTTGTTTTCATGATAGTTAATTTAAGATTAGGATAAGTTAAATTAAGTAATTGTATATTAGGTTAAATTATATTAAATTAGGTTAGTAATATCATAGGTCCTAAACCAAGACCATCATCTTTCTATTATGTATGGTTAAATAACATTGTGATTGTAAAGGCCGACGCCAAATCAATCTGAAATAAAAATATCTATCTATCTGTTGGCACTGATTCCCCCGCGTGCAAAGTGATGACTTCTTTGTCGTCGTCACTGGAGACACGACGAGTCTTTTTGGATTTTTTGTCAATTTTCTTCTGTTCTGGCTTGTTCCGTTTAGTTGTCTTTTTCTTTTCTTGCGATTTCGGTTGCGTGACTTTACTTGCGTGATTTCCGATTTTTGACAGTTGCTCCAAGTTGACTTGCATCAATTCGAACTTCTTTTGGAACGTGATCAGCAGCTCTTGATGATTGCTTTGGATTTTATACATAGTGGCCATTTTCAGTTCTTGTTCTTTTGAAGTTTTTTCCAGTTTCAACAGGATCTCATTTGCGTGTAATATGGGCAGGTTCATGTCGGTTTGGCTCCTGTTATTCGCTCTTGTGATTTTTCCCAACTCGATTACGTGACGTTCTACACGGGCAATTTGCTCCCGCATAGTCTTCAATAGCTCAGAAGTTCCATGGTTCTGTACGATGAGGACTTCCTCGAACTGTATCTGCTCTTTTGTACGAAGGATGAGAGGTTCTGTCTTGATTATAATTGGCTTGTTCTTGTTACCCAGAGTTTCTTGACTGGGAGTTTCGGAGCTGGATGATGAAATATTCTTGTTTTCTGACATTTCCGCTTTTTTCGACGAAGCTTGAGTTTCTTGAGTTTTTGTAGAAGCAGAAATGAATTGGAACCGAGATTTGATCAGAATGATACAATGATTGATGAGAGGAAGAGTTTTTACTAAAGTTTATTGTTTAATATTTGGAAAGATAGGATAGGATAGATGATGAGGGGTCGGGTGTCATTTTGTTGAGTTTGCATTTTATTAGTCCAGATCCCAATCGGAACCTGACTCTGTGTTGGTACACTCATGGGGTACTCCAATATATGCATAGGGCATCAAGATCTGAAGATGACATGTGGAGGGTCTCTCCTCCTTATAAGTGCGCGTCTTGACCCAAATTGTTGACCTGGTCTGGTTTCTGTGGGATGGGAAGTGTTGCGTAACTGAAGAGAAGCAGCTTTGCCCAATTTTCTTCACCGTCTGACTCGCCTACTTCTTTCAAAATTTTAGGTAGATAAATAGTTTTTATGTTACTTGGTGCAGAATTGTTAGGAAAATTTCATAGGTTGGCACAAACCATTAACAATGGGGTCTCCCAACCAGACCTGTTCGCTTTTATTCATTACGTTGACTATGATGGCAAATGACGTTGAATGTGTATGAACTTCGTCTCGTTTAACCTAACTCAAAATGAGTGCTTCATGCACACCTGCGTAATTTACTCATCAATTCTGCACATAAAAGATGATGATATAAAAGAACTATCCATCTGTTCATTCACATTATTAGAAATTGCGCAACAAATTCCGCACATGCCGCATAGTTTAAGATACCTCTATCATATCTAGTTTACCCTTGATTTCGTAATACATCTGCGTTTTGAATTTTAATTAATTATGATGAGCATCAAAGTTTGTAGCTGGTAAAGATTATAAATATAATGATCCATGCAGACCATTTTTGTCCTCCATTTTTAAAGTACAGAATTTTCCAACAAATTTACAAAAATGCAGCTGTGGTTAGCTCTTATCGTTGTAACGTGTTTGGTAATTGCTGCAGTGGCGGGTAAGTTTCGTTGTAAGACGCACTTTAACTTTATAAAAATTTGCGCATTAATTTATTTCATGTGACACACAGCTCCTCAACTTTCGTTGGATGTTACAAGTGGGAAAGTGATTCTTACAGAATTAGTTCCTGCTCAACCCAATCCGTACAATTTTATTCCAATTTAAAGTACAAATAAAGTTCTCTCCTGATTTGTAGAACAAATTAAGAAATGGAAATCTAAAAGTCTGTAAAAAGGACGATTTGAACATTCTTATGAAAATCGAATTGAAATTTTAGATTTTCATTGCTTCAAATACGATATAACGTACATACCATCTTCGTTGTAAACGCTGTTCGCATAAACAAATTGCATTAAAAATCAGTCATCGTTATTTTGATATTCATTCACATTTTATTTAATCATGAATTCATTTAGTGTCATCCGACCTTATTTCGTACTTCTTGCATTGTTAGAAACACTGTGAAACACACAAAATATGTGTAGTGACAAATCCTTTCATTCACGCTCATTCATCTGAAAGGAGGGAATGTTTCACTCATTTTCATTCACATCAAGGGAAAGAATTACCCTCATTCAGTACCATGGTCACTTTTATGAATGAAAGTGAACTCATTATTTTTAAACCTTCTACAAATTTTGACACTGATAATGCAATGGTGTGAAGTGTAACCCTCGGATTTGGCTGAAATTTTGAAATTATGTGGTCCCAGTCAATACAAGCAACGTTTCTTGAGACAGTTTGTGCGATGCTAAAATATGCTACACGTGCGGAATTTGTTTCGCAACTTTTAATTATGTCAATGTTACTGAACAGATAGATAATTCTTGTGCTGGGTAAATTTCGCAGGTGGCCATAAAATACTAACGATTTATGTCTCCAAACGTATGCTGTCATATTTCTACCAACGTAATTTCACATTACGATCACAAATGTAATTAACTTTAAATGCGCAAATTGAACTTTCTGCCAATACGTAGGTTTTGCAGAGATCTGGGCATCCAAGTAGGAGAAGGGTTTGGACAAATTTTGAAGTATCCAAATATTTATACTTCCCATATCGGCGAATATTGTTGGTCATGTCATGAGTACGAAATACACGTTAAATTAATAAAAACAAAGAAAACTTTGCCTCACGAAGTTCACCGTAAATATGTGAAAGAAGCTCGAAATAAGTTATTTCAAACAAATTTTCTTCGACGCCGATGAAAATGCTTCAATTAAAGAATAAAATCATTTACATTATTTATAGTCCTTTGTCAACCTCACGTCCGACTTGGTCCTTCTAAGAACTCCGCCTAGATTTTGACATGCTTGATGTAAATATAAAATTTGAGATGGATTCGATCAGTAACCACACAGTTATTTCAATATTTTATTATCGGCCCAGTAAAAAGAACGATAAGCTGAACTTATGGGGAGAACTACAATTTTTATGCATTAATTAGAATTTCCTCCTCTTCTGGAAGATATTAAATATTAAATATAAAAAAAACTCATCTACAATTCTGTTCGTCTAATTAACACTAGAATGGTTTGGATTTTGACTTGTCCAGTTTCATCTGAAACTCTATTGCGTCAGAACGCATATGTCGTTCAATTCTGCAAACATTTATTTCATTCACCTCTTTGTTATCAATGAATCAATTAGTTCACAGGCTGCGCAAATTTTGTGATTATTCTATCCCCCAAATCCAATTCAGCCATGCTCTGGTATAAATACCTCTAAAAATAGGACCGAATTGGACACAAGCTTTTCTCTACTGCAATCAATAAGTTTAGGTTGAAACTAAAATCTTTCTGGAAATGAAGGCAATTTTAGTATTAGCCATTCTTGCAGTTATATCGACGACTGCATTTAGTACCGTCGACGGTAGCGACACAAATATAAATTAAATCATAGGGTGAATTTTTACAAAATGTAACATCCAATTTTTCTCAAACTCTAGGTGACAGTGTTCCAGTGTACAGCCTCAAAGTAGCTGGCTACGAATTGGTGCACATTCGATTAGACAGTCCTTGCAGCGTGCCCGGTGTCATTGCCAAATGCAGTGCGGATTGTGTCACGCTTCGATATTCAAGAGGTCTTTGTTTGACATCCACGCCTTCTTGTGTTTGTATGTAAATGCTTTCATGTAAGCTTCAATCTCTGACTTATTGAATTGGTTTGCATTAAGTTTCAAGTCTTTGAAAATGGCAATTCGAAAAGTTTGGCGGGTTTTGTTATTTGTAGCTTTGGAAATTTTGTGTGTCTTAAATATTATGCACTTCTGTGACTTGAATGAACACTGAATTGAATTGAATAAATACTAATTTAAATAAGCGGTTTTAAGATTTATTTTTGTTCAAGCTCTATCTAAACGTATATTTGAGAAATAAAAAATTAGATTTAATACATACAAAGATACAAACGTCAACAAAGTTATAGACTTTCCTGTATGCAAAAAATTACCACAATTTCATAAAAACCGGAATTATAAAAAAATATTTTAGAATTTGCTTCTTCCGCTTGGAAAAATCGCCCGTTTTCTTCAACTTTTACCACAAATAGTTTGACAAATTCTGACCATCGCACACACTTCCTCAGGAAACGTTGGTTGTATTGACTTGAACTGCATAATTCCAAAATTTCATCGAAATCGGATTGTTGCACTTTGCACTATCGCATTGTCAGTAGTTGATTACCTGTGCCTTTGCTGGGTCAAGTTGAGACTCAATTGGGGCAGAGTAAGACGTTCCATTTTCTATATTGGACGTCACAGAGGGCGAAAATATTACGGCTTAAATCGATGCACAAACTCTATCGTGTTCCAGCTCACGCTAATTCCATTAATTCCCCTTCCGATGGCGTCAGTAGTATTCAATGTCGTTTCGGCTACCTCGTTTTTGCGCGGGCATGCAATTGACTTGTTCCACTCCGATAGAGACCAGGATGAGGATGAGTGCTGATTTTTTTAACCTCACGTTTTTATAATTCATGGACTTGTACGTATAATTGCAAATAGTCGTTTTTGGAATTCCTTCTAACGCGAAATTTAACAAAACTAACTATCGTCGAAGTGGGCACAATTTGTGCGGGTTTGCAAACGCAGTTCCCGGGTGCCTCCTTTAAACTCGAATAGCCTTTCAATCTTTTGAACCGCTGATTGCACAAAGGTGCAACTTAATAGAAATGACTCTATCCAAATCAACCCTCCAGAAAAAATACTATTTGCATCAGCTGTTGCTGCTCGTTTCATAAAAATTCCCGCGTCCGGTCCACCGTAAAAGAACCATCCTCATAACCCTGGATGTACCCACAAGCGCTTAAAATAATGAGTTGAATTACACTCTAGGAAAGTCCGGAAGTTTTTTTATCTGGTAAAAAGAGACGTACTCTTAACGTTTCGCATTTAAAAAAATCTACTGGTATATATGTTAGAAAAATTACGAAATATTTATATATCGTCTTGGATCACCCTGCTGTATGTGGATATTGGAGGCAATTGGAGGGCGAGATTTAAGCCAGGATATGTATATATAAATTTAAGAGTTTTCACTCGATATCCGCCGAGCTTTGATTATTACACTACAGTACCCAATGCATGCATAATGCTGCTTTTGAATTGTGCAAACATTTTTTATTCTCTAACTGATTCTATTTTGTCAAAATAGTTTATTGTACTTATCCTAACCGAATCCTCAGTGGAATAGCTGAGATATGTAGAACTGCATGTATGAAGAAGATAAATTTTAATGTTACAAGGAAACTAAAAAAACAATCTCGCCGGGGTTTCGTTAAAATCCTATATAGCTCATGCCTTCTTGCGCTCGCTGCGCGAGTAAATGTCCGTATTATTCGTTAAGTAAACCGCGAGATTGAAGAAATTTTCGAAAATACTGCAGATCAAATACGGGTCCGTCGGTTGTCCCGTGTAATACGTTTTCGATTATTATCTTCCCCTCAAAAAATTCGTCCTTACTGTCATACTCCGGGACCATGCGGTACTTATAATTCCACCCCCACCCCCACCCATTTTTTACCTGGCTATGGGAGAAAGAGTGAAATGACACTTTTCCCACCCACCAAAATCAGTGGGGAATGGGAGAAAGTGGGAAAAACGTTGGTTTTTATGCGGCACTTTCCCATTTCCAGGTGACAGCACTTTTTCCCATTTCCAGGTGACAGCACTTTTTCCCATCGGGTAAAAGTCTTCCAATTAGGCAATATGCGACACTGAATAAGCTTGACCAAATCTTAATTTCCTAATTTTTTCACAATCTATCGGCTTAGAGATAACATTGTCCACGTAGTTCTTAAAATTGAAATAAATTGAATATCTGCATCCAATTGTTTTGCATAAAATTTATTTCCCCAAATTTTGGATCCGATTATGTACACGAAGTAATACATTTCATTTTTTTTTGTATTTTAAATGATGCTAATATATGCACAATTTCTGAAGGTTTGAGCTGGAGCAGCAGTATAACAGTTGTTCAAGTCTGGAGAAAAGAAGGAACAGTTATAATTCGATCAAATGATATCTAACATACGATCTTTAGTTTGTTTCAAAATAGTTTGAGAAATAACTTATCCCATAAATTACCTGGTGCTCCACTAGAGTAAGAAGTCCTACAAAAAAATATTTTACTAGAGCTTGCTCAAAAATGTTTGCATTAGTTTTGATACATTTTACTTGCTCCATTGTTGGTTAATCAATTAATTCTTTTGTTAATTTAAACTTATGTAATCATTGCTTCTATTAAAATGCAAACGGAATTTGTCTACTTGGTAATACACAAAAAAACCTGTTAAATAAAAACTTTCTAAATCCTAGAATCTGACAAATGTTGTCCAACTAAAAATTTCGAAAACGTCACGAATTATCCAACTGATCAACTTGATTGACACACGGATTCAGGTAATTCTTAATAACCACTTGGTACTGATATTTCCAACTAAAAGCGCAATCGATGTGTCTTTCGTATTTATAACTGAAAAAAATTCAAAAAGCCTCAGCTTAGGCTTTTTGCCTACTTATGTCGGTGGCTTCATACCTATAAGTCCATCGTAGAGTGCATCTTGAGCACCTAACTTCAGCTGGGAGCTGGAGGCGAACGGTGACAATGTCATTAGGAGGTTCTGGATTGTCGAATGGGATGCAGACTTGGTAATCTCCCCTCAATGGTTGTGACGCAGAGACAACAGGTAGGAGACTGAAACAATTGTCAGTCTCTTGTACCTGGGGGCAAAGTTTCATTTGGAAATGGCCTAAACTGCAAAAGAAAACCTTTGTTAAATCTTCAGATAGGTGTTACGATTTAATCATTATGGGGCGAAAGAATTTAATGGACCAGTCGTGTCCTCCAACGATATTTCTTTGTTTCGAGTT